GTTCACTTTCAGGTTAATTGTTAGTCCTCATACATTGCAGTCTTATTATCTCCTGAGTTGCTTTTACAACAGGTCAGAGGTGTAGGAATGGAGTGTGTTGATCCACTCAACCCCTCGTCCACAGCTACTTGTAAGTACCTTATGCCTCAGACACAATACTCAACTTACCTCTCTCTCTCTCTCTCTCTCTCTCTCTCTGTGTCTGTGTGTGTCTCATGTCCAAAAGGGACGATTGCAGACCAGAGTGCATGTGGGCTGTCCTCCAGGCCTGTCTCTAGTGTTTGATCACGTCGCCACCCAGGCCAGAGACAACCAGTTCTGCACTACCACCAACAACATCAGCTGCTACTACTTTGGAAATGGTACACACACAATAACTATTTTAGCGACAGTATCTTTCTTATAGCTATGTAGGTGAATTTGGTTATTTTCTCAGTATATTTTAGGGGCTGCATGCAATAGTGTTTGCAATGTGGTGTTGTGAGATTTTTAAATCCCCGTCAAAAAAATTTTAACACAAAATCCCCCGGATGAGTGTCACTTTCTTTCTTCTCCCTGCATCATCATCGTCCGACCTTGAGCCTACTAATACCGCTGGTAAACATAAACTCAAAATATTATTATCTGTTAAAATGGAAATTCACAAAAGAGTGAGTCTTCACTGGCACAAAACATTCATTCAATTTACACAACGTTTTCGGTCCCTGAGGACTTTCTTTAGGTCTAGAGTCTTTTGACAAAAACAGAAAAGTATGACAATGACAGGATGGCAACGGAATGCTGACCAAAAATGCAAAGTTTACAAAGTTATTGCAATCTTCTCGTGATTGGATCATCAGACGCACTCACGCGCCTCTCACTGGCACAAAACATTCATTCATTCACACAACGTTTCGTCCCTGAGGACCTTCTTTAGGTCTACGTCTTTGACAAAACAGAAACGTAATGACAATGACAGGATGCAACGGAATGCTGACCAAAAATGAAGTTTACAAATTACTTACAATTTCTGTATGATCAAAGACGCACTCATGCGCCCTTTTTATGGGGCGCGCGATCGCGGCCCAATCGCAGAGCTAGCTGGGCCGGGGGTCGTCATCTTCATCTTGAACCGTAGCTACTGAGAGAGACCAGCAGGATAGACTGTCGTGACCTACAGCACGAGAAATGGCCGCGGAAGGCCTTCTCGCCGAGTATCCAGAGCTGCGGCCGTTCGTCCTCCCCAACGTGCGACTCACTGGCATCAGAATCGGCGCCGGAGCCTATGGCAGCGTGGAGGAGGTGGCCGTGCCTGGGGCCATCTGCGCCGCCAAAAAAATCCACGACATCTTCCTGGACCGCTCCGAGATCCCCGCGGCCGAGATCCGCAGAGCCACGTCCCAGTTCGTGAGGGAATGTCAGCTTATGAGCACCCTCGGCCACCCGAATATCGTCAAGTTTCTGGGCGTCGCCTTCTTTCCCGGCTCGCGACTGCCAGCCCTCGTCATGGAGCGACTGCTGACGAGTCTTCACGACTTGCTGGACCCAGAAACGGACCCGCCCCCCCCGCCCAACACGCCCAAGCCGTTCTTCCCGCTCAGCCTAAAGTGCTCGATCCTGCACAACGTGGCGTGCGGTCTAGCCTACCTCCACGAGCGATCACCGCCCGTCATCCACCGCGACTTGTCGGCCAGAAACGTTCTCCTGAACTCGGGGATGGTGGCCAAGATCGTGGATTTGGGCGTGGCTCGTATCGTCCCTCGTATGAGAACTGCAGCCACCATGACAAAGGGACCTGGGGCCTCAGTCTACATGCCTCCAGAAGCCAGTGCTCCTGCTAAATCGAATGCCCAAAAGTCGAAATACGATGCCAGTATCGATGTCTTCTCTCTTGGAGTAGTTGCCATTTTCACAATCGGTGAGGTCTTCCCCTGCGATCCCGTTGCTGCAACCTATCTCGATGAAGAAACTGGGGTAGTCATGGGTCGCAGTGAATTGCAGCGACGCGCTGAGTACATGCGACACGTGAACGAGCAACTCCGTGCCTGTGGCCAGCTCCGTGGGGACCACCCTCTCATTCGGCTGATCCAGCAATGCCTGCACAACGGTCCTCACAAACGTCCGAGCATTCGTGAGGTGCTGCGTCTGTTGGAGGAGGCCAGAGCTGGAGCCAGGGACAGCGGATGGGAAGAGGTGCAAGCTGCTCAGACCCAGCCCAGGAACCAGGTGAGGTGCCGTAATGCTGTGGTCTCTGCAACTGAAACTTGATTTGTGTTGTGCAGAGTTCTGAGAGAGATCTGCAGTCTGGTGTGCAGGAGCTACAGCAACAGCTGCTGTCCAGGGACCAGGTGAGGGACTCCCCCATACTGTCATAACAACAGAGTTTTTGATAGCGAATTCCTACAATATCAGGAGAATGCAGACTCCAGCAAGCAACAGGAACTACACTCCAGGAATCAGGTAAAGAGTAACAGTCACTCAGTTTTGCTGTGGCCAATACATTACGTCATTGCGTGCAAATCTGTATGCTTCTACGACGGCAAATTGGTTTGCCGTCGTAGAAGCATAATGAGTACTGGCACGAATCCTCTCTCTCATAGGCCAAGGACAGGGAGCTAGCTGAGGCTCGGCAGCAACTGAGACGGAAGGTAAGTTTGCCATGTGTCTACGTAGGTGATGACTTTGTGTTTCTGATTTTAGGAGGAAGAGTTAGCTAGACAAGGAGCAGAGCTGACAAGAGCAGAGGAGACTATCAGGAGAGAACAGCAGCAACTGAGACAGAAGGTAAAACTATTATATAGCATCCCTGCTAATGTGAACGTACAACTTCAGGAAGAAGAGCTCCAATCCAGTGAGAGAGAGAAACAGACAGTCAGACAACAGCTCATCAGCTCACAGAGACGGGTTAGTCTAGTCTGTGGAACTAATGCAGTGTAACGAGGTCCTCCTGACTGCAGGAGACTGAGTTAGTGCAGGCCAAGGACAGGGAGCTAAGAGAGAAGCAGACAGTGAGAGATGAGCTAACAAGGAAGGAGAGAGAGTTAGCTGAGACTCAGCAGCAACTGAGACAGAAGTGAATAGTGATAACTGCAGGATGTGTGTTGTTGAAGTGACTAGAGGTCTCCTGACTGCAGGAGGAACAGCTGCGATCAAGTGAGGCTCTAGTGGCTGACTTCCAGAAGGCCCTCCAGCAGAGAGACTCAGAGCCAACTCAGAGGACAAAGGTCAGTCTTACTGGCTGTGAATAATTTACTCCACACATTCCTCTCAGACTCAGTCTGGTTGTCTAGCAACAGCTGTATAATACCTCAACTGTAATCATTTACCTTCTGACTTGTGTATATACTTCCAACGATCTTAGATATTAACTCTTTATCCACTGCCTGTGAATATTGCTATTTGTTACTCCACCCTCCCAGACCCAGTCTAGTCTTCTACCAACAGCTGTACCACATTCCACACCAGTCAATATTAAACCCAGAAAGGTTTGTACATTAAATATTTGTTCCACTTTCACTATCATGCAGGAGCTAACGATGCCTTTTAATATGTCACACAAATATGCAAAAGTGAAAAAATTAATTTTGGGATATGGTGAATGGTGATCGATCGAAATTGAAGCCATGCCTATTAATTAATTTTTGATTTTTAAAAACAATGTTTAATTATTATGTGAGTCATGTTACGGATATCGTTCATGATTATGATGTCATTACATGTCATGTGATCTCCCCTCAGCTCACTGTGCAGTGTCATCGTAAGAAGACAGCACCATGTGAATGATCAGAGGATCTGCAACAACTGATGGTCGATTTGCATACTTCACCCACGTGACTCCAACTCAGTCTACCAATATGAATGTAGTACAGAGAAATGGGAGGAACTTCCTTCATGTCCATATCAGAACTCTGGACTAGTCATCATTGACAGGGAACTAACTGCTGTGGGGGGAGATGATGGATATCGTCGTACTAACAAACTATACACACTACGACAGAGGAAATGGGTTGAGAAATACCCTCCAATGAACACTGCACGTTCCACACTGCTGTAGTTAGTACATCTGATGGCGAATACCTCATTGTGATTGGGGGGTATGTGGTGGTGTTTAGTTGGACTGCTACAGTTGAACTATTTCAAGTGAAGAGCAGAAGATGGTACCAACTAACAGACTTACCACAACCTCTCCCTCCCTTCAGCCACAATATGTGGTGATCTAGTACATGTGGTAGGAAGTGGTGCTGACGGCTACTCGTGTTCTCTTGCAGCTCTACCATCCAGTGACAAACCAATCCCACCACAGTCAATACCACACCTCATATCATGGAAACCTCTCCCTCCTCTACCAGTGAAAGACTCAACAGCTGCCACTCTCTGTGGACAGCTAGTACTCATTGGTGGCGATCGAGGTCTGGTCACGAGTCAACTCCATTCACCAGCTAGTGGATGGACAGTGGGTGGAGATTGGCTCTATGACTAGTGGTAGGAGCAGCTGTTTAGTAGCCAGTCCATCACCTGACAAGATCATCATAGTGGGTGGAGTATGGAGGATGGGGAGCAGAGGACAGTGTTGAAGAATGTGTTGTTGTTTAGTTACAAGTACATTTTTTGTAATACTCATTGTACAGTATAATTACAACAAGTTGTGATTATGCGCAGGCTGTTACAATAATAATTCTGCCGTAATTTCCTATTCTCTGCACACAAAATAAGTGGTAGAATTTACTGTTTGAGATTGGTAAATAAGCAGAATTTTATATATTATAACCCCATATAAATTCTTATTGACTTATGAGGCTCTGGACACATTTATGTGCCCGTGGCTGGTTAAGTGTTAATGCTATATCCTGACATCTGCTGGAAATTAGAGAGAAGAAGAAGAAGAGATGAACAAAACTCCCTATCATAACTCCATACATCTATGATGCTAGGTACCATGCCCATCCCTATAATATACTAAGTACTACTGTACTTAGTGATACCGGCCAACAATATTGCATAATTATGGTTGTGTTGTTATAATACACACACCATCATCACAATAGTCATTATACAATAGTCACGATGTGTGTGAAGCTGACACACTGGTCTAATCAAGAGAGATGGAATGATGTCACGATGATGTCATTGTTAATTGGTCGGAGGAGGAGGAGGAGGGTCTGCTGAGTCAGCAGTCTCCATTGGAACATCAGAAGTCTCCTCTGCAGTGGGTGGGGTCTGTCAGGGAGAAAAATGACATATTCTCACTTCTCTCTCCTCGCTCCGATTATATGCACACATGGTATTCTCTCAAATGGGGAACACCTGAAAGTCGCAAAAACCTTTTGCAAATTAACTGCCTCACATCTGTCGAAGAGAGAGAGAGAGAGAGAGAGAGAGAGAGAGGGAGAGAGAGAGAGAGATAGAGAGAGAGTCACAATTCAGACACATTACGTAATGCACTGAGCCATATTTAGTTCACCCACCTCCTCCTCCTCCTCCTCCTCTTCTCTCTCATCTTCTCCAACTCCGAGGAGCGTACAACAGAATGGTAGGCCACGTGCCAATCACGCCACTCCAGACAGCTTCAGCTATCTGTCCTCGTCACCAAAGGTAAACCTTGTCGTCGTCCAGCTCGCCCACTCACCTTACAGGGGCATTACAATCATGATTACATCATATGGTTTAAATAGTATGACATCATAATTCCGTCAACCTTGCTTACCGTATTAATCATAATGACTTCATTCAAGAGACTATTTTGGTAAAGTCACTCTCAAGCAAATTAATGTCAAAACCAAGAATATGGAGAGTTAAATAGAGTCATAGTCATGTGATAGTCCGTGACTCACCGTTCTTGAGGGCCACCCAGCCGACGTAGTGACCAGATGATGAAGACCTTCCCTTGTGCGTCAGGACGGCCGCTAGCTCGTAGTATCCACTGGTTATTACTGCCTACATCTGTCGGAGGAGAGAGAGAGAGAGAGAGAGAGAGAAAGAGAGAGAGAGAGAGAGAGAGAGAGGGAGAGAGGAGAGAGATGAGATCAGAGAGAGAGAGAGAGAGAGGAGAGATGAGAGAAGAGAGAGAGAGAAGTCCACATTTAAATTTCAGACACAGAGCATTTGTAGCTGGAAGTTTGCCAGGCCCAATTCCTATAGACAAAAAACGGGAGAAATGGAATATTACAAGAGCTAAGACACAATACTGGTTTTTGGTGTACATTCCGTGTATACATTGTAAAGCTTCCAATCCAGGCCTGCGAACACGACATTAGCCAGTCAATTGTCACTCATCTGATAGGAACACATTGAATGGGTCAGAGCCAGAGTGAGCCAACTCTCAATATACACTCTTGCCAGTTTTTGTTCTATAAGGACATTTAGAACATATTTGAAGGAAAACCAGCAAGAGTTGTATATTGGAGGGTTGCTCACTCTGACCCTTCAATTATTATGATCATCTGAACAGGCACATAAATGTGCATTTGTTCAAATTTGCACGTTGCATTCTCTCGTGTCACAGACAAAGGAATATGTGTAAACCAACATATTGTGTACCTTCAGGATCTTCCTAGCAACCATTCCCACTGTCGGGGCCACGCCACGGAACCGGACAAACTGGACTGTCAGGTATCCGGGAGACGACTCAGCGGCGACGTCTTCTTGAAAGTCCGCGTTCTTTCCAGAACTGCAGACTTTTCTTCACCGTCCCCTCCATTTCCTGGGGAGAGGGGCATTTCCTGCTTCTCTTATTCTTTAGTGGCATTATTGACCTACGACCTCTCTACAAGGGACAAAATCTCTGCGCCATAGTGTCCCTGTTCGGAGTTCATATACATCATTCCATTACTACCTTCCTCATAGCTGTTTACATGTACTTCATCCTGAGCAATAAAACACGACACTTGGTAGCTAGTTTCCGTCTCCGTGGTGACCGTTCGTCTGGACACTCCTCGCATTTGTACGTCGACTTTGTCTCCACCCTGTTACCAACGGCAACGTAAACCGACCAATCAGATCACGGGTAAAACTGGAGTAAAAATGTCTTACCAAAGTACTGCTTGATAAAGGCATTCCTTCACCTGTCGCTCCCTATATAATACAAACATAATCATTTTTAAAGTGATGTTAATCTGTCAGACTAGACAATCGTAAGAGAAATATGAACTACTCGGTCAGTCAGATTGTAGTAGTATATATAGTATATATGTAAGAGATAATGTGCGCTGTATGGGTCTCGAGACCACAACCCGAGTTCCCATAAATCACGTATAGAACGATAGGACGCACATTATGTCGTTTTATTGTGACTTTGTAGCAGTCGTCGACCTCCAGCGAGAGAAATACGACTGCGTAGCCTACCCACGTGCGCTCTCGCTGGCTTCTCGAGCGAGTTCTCTGAAAATTAAGTTTTGTGGTTTTCCCCAAAAACTTAATTTTCACATTCCAGCCATATAGGTCCCTTTCCCATGCACCCTCATATATATATATACCAGTGCAATATACAGTATAATTATTACTTACACAGGTATATACAGTAAACACGTGTAAAAACCTGATTGGTTGACGGAGGAGGAGGGATGCCAGGTACCCTGAAGAGTCTCAGATAGGTTATTGACCATGGCGACCACACTCGTGAGCATCCTGCTGCTTGTAGGATCCTGTGGGGAGTCATGTGATTATCACGTGATCATCCAACAATCATGTGCAGGTCATGTGACTAGAAAAGATTCTCATAACTAGGTGTCCTTATTTACTCCAGAGTTCTTTCAGAGGTTCCCATGGAGTCCATTGATCACGTGATCAAACACCTAATCACGTGACCACACCCCCAGTCACGTGACCACACCACTCACCTGTCTTCTCGTCCTTGTGTGCAAACTCTGGTTTAACGGCGTGGAGGGTATGAAGAAACAGCATGGAGGGAATTCGTATGTCCTGGCCTGATTCCATCATCAGATACAGCATCTTCAGGTCTGTAGGGAAGAGATGGAGGTCATGTGATGTCATGTGATCCAACGAACACTAACTCTGCATTATATACAGTGGAACCCCCTGAAATGAGGACACCTCACTAATAAGGACCTTTTCTTTCCTCAAGAACAGTTCAACCCCTGAAATAAGGACACCTCATTAATATGGACAATATCTTCGACTGGTGTCGGGATTATTCTAATTTTAACCCTTCACGTACTCATTTTAAACCCTCCACACACACAATTTTAACCCTTCCACATACTCATTTTAACCCCTTCACCTCTGGTGAGAGACTGAGGCGATGCGGTGTCGGTGTCCATAAGCTCAGCCCTGGTAGCCGGGACGTGGTAGCTGCCCAGAGCCGACCTCAGCTCGGGAACAACCTTCAGACATTGCAGGGTGGCGTTCAGGTAGCACGTGTTGCCGAAATTCTCTATCCCGGTCGGCAGGGACAGCTGAAGAAGGGATAACGGAAGGAGAAATGAAATTGAAAACATAAACAACGAAACGAGACAAAAATGGACACAAAAATCACAGAGTTAGAGAAACGAAAGTGTGATTACACAGCTGTAAAAGACAACTGAGTAGTTTTTCACCTTAAAGGGGGTCAACATACGAGTATCGAGTCTTAAAATGAAAATGAAACTTAACCCCTCATGAATGCAACGTGAACGCAATTTAACCCTCTACTCACGGCAGCGGCTGCCTCGGTATCAGTCATGTCTTCGAGAAACTTTGTCTCATGTTTCGGAGCCTCGGGGAGGCTGTCGGCCGAGCCCATCATCATGAACGTGGCGTTGTTTTTCACTTTTATTGGTGTTTGACCATCTCGTCGCTAGTATCAGTCCTCCTATCATCAGCCTCTGTCTCTCTGCGAACTCCTTGGGGAGGGATAGAACGACAATGGTGGAATGAGTGTTTTTAGAGAGGAGAGATGAGGAGGAGAAGAGAGAGAGAGAGGCAGGAAAGGAGCAGAGTAACAGGTTGAACGAAAAGCACTTGAAAGTGGAAGGAAACTTGGTGGAATAAAGTGTTGGCGCAATCACAATGAAGGCAAGACTGAAAGGTGAAGAATGAAGAAAGTCAGCAAGTCGGGCAGGTTCAAAAGGAAGGGAAGAGGCAAAGAAGAGTTAACTAACAGTCGATGGCTAACCGGTGAGAGAGAAGAGCTGGGATTTGAAGACGGCGGAGGCTCAGCCAAGTCGACCTCAATTTTCTCATATTTCTTCTTTCCCCACTTCACGTTCACTGGAGATCCAAGAGAGTATCATAGAGCTTCTTACGATACACAAGTACTGCCCGTCTACCTTTGACAGTTGACATCTGACCAACACCGCTGAATATCAACGTTGAAACGAGGAGAGCAAAACGATGACGAAGAGCGACGGAGATCTAAGCCACGCCCACTACCGCATGCGCGCGCGTGCTGGGTTCAAAGTTCGAACTTGACGCATGCGCAGTTTGCCACAAACGTGCGCGAGCTCGATCAGAAGCTCCTGGCTTTGTTTTCGCTGATGCTGGGGGGAGAGAAGATAGTCGAGTGTGTCCCCAACTCTCCGAGGGCCGGCGTGCCGACGATGGTGGAGGCTATAGCGGCTGCAGTCAGGGAACGGAAGGATGCTCCTGCTCGACGTAGCCCCGGGGACTCCACTAAACGGACAGTCTACACGTTTGTCGGACGTCCGGAATCAGTGCTGGAGGGAGCGCTTGCCGCCGCGCGCGTCGCCTTCAAGCTCATTGATATGACCAAACAAAAGGGTGAAGTGGTTCTGAAAAATGTAGCTAGAACCCTAATAGTAAGTCGATAGCTAACATACTCTTTTCTCTATGCTGTACATATGTAGGTCTGTTCATTGGTAGGAACACAATAGGTACACGTGTTGCAGTGCAGCGTGTGAACGCTCAGTGTGTTTTTCAGACAGTAGCCATAGCTACATAACATACACCGTTTTCTATTGACATGATATTCACTAGAATTAAGACAAAAATATGATTGGAATCTGGCGAAATATTGTACTAGTCATCTGTTTGGTTGCCATGTTCTCAGGTGAACATCCAAGACTCGGTGCTCTAGACGTCTGTCCCTTCATCCCCGTTGCCACGTTACCATGGAGGAATGTGCCGGAGTTGTCACGGAGATGAGCGGGTGTCGCCTGCAACGGAGCTGAGCGTCCCGGTCTACCTGTACGAGTACTGCGGTTGCCGTGGGAAACGATCTGACTATCGACGACTCTCCCTCAGATTAGAGAAGGAGAGTATGAGAGACTCCGGAATAAGGTGATTAATTATAATCATAGTTTACATTTCAGAAGTGAATTAAACCTCACTCAAATGGACACGTTCTTCTGTCCCATTAGTGTCTAAATAATCATCTTTATTTATGAGCACAGCAACGTTTGCTGCATCTCTCTTCTTGCCGTTCCACCAGATACAAAAACCAGAGTGGGACTCCGATTTTTGGACCGGCTGATTACATTCCGTCGTGGGTGCCACGGTAACGGGCGCGGTCTTTCCTCATCGCGTACAACGTGAATCTCCTGGCAACCAAGGAGCAAGCCCACCGCATCGTCTCACACATTAGAGAAACAGGGGCGAGGTCCTAGTCAGGTAGGGAAAGAGTAACCCCTCCCTCCCTCCCTCCCTCCCTCCCTCCTTCCCTCCCTCCTAGCCAGGAAGACTGAAGGCAGTGAAGGCCATTGGGTGTATCTTGATGACCAAGACTTGGCCCAAGTCTCTATCAACATATGTGACTTCCAAACCACACCCCTTCATGTTGTCTTTGAGGAAGTATGCAAGGATGCTAAGGTAGTGAAATCACCTCTCTAAGGACACCTCTCTAAGGCCCACCCCTGAATGAGGACACTCTCTAAGACATAAATGAAGGACACCTCTCTAATGACACCCATGAAATGAGGACACCCTCTATGACACACCTTAATGAGGCAGCCTCTCAATGAAAAACCTGTGACTGAAATGGGGACACCTCTCTATCAAAACACCCCTGAAATGATGCCAGCGTCGTCAGACTGCCTCCATGGTAACATGGATGGCTAGAGTTTCTCACGGGTCAGAGTGTGACTTCACGATACGTCGCATTGGCCCATCGTTCCAATGCTTCACATACCTGCGCGAAGATTCTATAGATTCTTCCTCGCGACGTGCGCGGCAATGCGGACATAAGTGTGTAGAACCAGGCTAATAGCAGAAGAACTTGCGAACAGAGACACTATGAGACCAACGGTTTTTTTATCAGAACCTGTCCACTGTAGATCACTTGAACCCAAATATACGTGTGCTTGTTAAATGTACAGCGGGAGCAGCGCTGCCGGTACATGGTAGACTGCTGACGTAGTGGGAAGAAAAAGTCACGAAGATCTCGCATGATGTAATGCGAAAGACGATTGGTCCTCTTCATGACAAACCTGCAGAAGATGATCGCGGTTGAGTATTGAGCAGGACAGCGAACACTTTCGTCTGACTAGTTCATATGGTGCGCCTGAACGAGCTTTTCAGAGAGAGATGAGAAGACAGGTTTCTCCATCCTACGGATTGCACGATGGCATGCCGAACACTGCCTCAAAGACTAGCGAAGAGATGAGAGATGTAAGTCACGTGCTATTCTGTAATATTATTGGTAATCCTATGTCAGTGGGCTTAACAGGGTGCTCTTGATCCCTCCTCTCCCTCCTTCCTGCCCCGAGAAAACGCTAATTCATGATTAACGCAACCTGTGGCTTTTGCTGTGTTGAGCAATGAGCATATGCATTTCGGGTTCAGTTGCGCTATATGCCCATAGTTAGTTGGATCGTGGATTATTGAAAATGTAGTGCATTGTTACCTGCATTCCGTTGTACGTCATGATATGTACGTCTCACCTCTCTCCTCCCGCCTCTCTCCCAACTAGACGAAATGAAAAGATGGCGGCAGGTATGAGGACAGCTGTTTCAGTCCCCTCTCTCTCGTGAGGGCAGGGTGCGAGTGTTTGCCACACCTACTCACACTGGGCTACCCACGGCAACATACAGACCTATGTGCGATCTAGAGTAAGTTGGAACCGGATCAGGTGGCCAAACCGTCAATTAAGGTCATTATCCCAGTAATGAAGTAATGAAGCTAATGGCACGTGTTTATGGCTACTGAAAAGACTCCTCCCTATAAAGGACACTTGGTTGTGCCCATACAGGTGGAACCTGTTAATACGAACACTGTTAAAGCGAAATACCTGGCTAATACGAACCACTTTGAGACATTATAACACTAGTACAACTAGCTACTGTTATATAATATAGTGAAATTCCTTTTAATTATGAACATTTTTTTGACGGTCCCCTGAACGAGAGGTTCCACTGTACTATCATGTAAAGGACGCTTTGAATGTGTTCCCCCTCTCAGAGGTTTTGCTGGTGCAACTTTCTCTTCCCTCCGCTAGGTGGCCTCTGTCGTACTCTGGACGCTGGTATCCATGGCGCCCACGACAACATCCTCACCAATCTCCCCAGCCTCACAACTAGCGACGCCGACTTTGCCGCCTCGGTGCGAGAGGAGGGAGAGAGGCTTGCTGGTTACAGCACCAAGTTGTGCGCTTCAGTTCTCGCCTCCATTGACGAGAGAGAAAAGAAGGGATCGTAAAAATGACTATTATTATATATATACCACTCGCTCGCTGTTATATAAACTGAAGATAACCCCCATTTGATAATTAGTTAATATTTGCACAATGAGGATGATGTAATGAATAATACTCAGGTGGTTGCCATAGCCATAGACCAAATGATGATGTAATGAAATTAGGAAGAGTGTGTGATATTTTAGTTCGTCTTCTTCTTCTGCTGGTGACTGGTGGCTGACCGGCCATAGTAGAAACATTGTACCACGACAGTCAGATTGAGGAACAACGACAGAACGAACATGAAGAAGACTGAGAGGAGAGAGAGAGAGAAATGGCAGAGAAGAAAGGAACAGAAAGGGGAGAGGGTAAGGGAGGGAGGGAGAGAGATATTGATGACAACATTACAATTTTCAAAACATATTACTGTGGCGGTCTTTACCTATTCCACGGCGATTGCGTAAATTAGACGGCTGCTATGTACAGAGAGAGAACATTGAGAGGATTCTGCTTGTGTAACGTAGAGAGAGAGAAAAACACAGAATGGATTAACTCACAAACGGAAGACACATTACGTAATGTGAATACTGATGATGTCTTACCAGCAGAGGCGTACGAAGAAAGGACAAACATAGAGATGCTGCACATCTCCGACCGACTTGAGCGCGATCAGAACGACTGTAGATCTGCGTCCCGTCTACTGGTTTATCAGGAGCGGTACTGTGCGCGCCTGAGTGAGGAGAGAGGAGGGAGGGGAGGAGAAGGAGGTGCCTCCAGGTGATGTGTGTGAGGGAGGAGAAAGAGATATGACACACTTTCCCCGAACCGATGTCGATCTGATGTCTCACACAATGCCGTAAAATCAACACAAAGACGGACACACTTCTAATCACTCTCCGCCCTTTCTTTCACTATAACACATCTCACAGAGCGAGCATCTTTCTCGTCGAAGGTGAGTGCGCAATGTATTATGCACACGGTTAATGTTGCACCTTTTTTAGTAAGTGACAACCTCTGAAAAAAAATGCAAGCTAAATTTTTTGAGGGTACATTTTGCATTGCTCTAATTAACCGCAAATTCCCCTGTGATGATAAATTAACACACGTGGTATACCTGAGTGTGTGTGTGCGAAGGAAGTAGCATACCATATGATCTCCAGCCAGTAGCCGCGTGCGCTAATGCCTCGGCTGCTCCTCGACGAGTAGAGCGCCAGGATCTGCGGTACCTTCATGAAGACACTCAGAAAGATGACCGAATAGCTCAGACATCGGCTGACGAACACCGAAACGTCGCCATTTCCCTCCATTCTCGCAATCTAGTATAGGGTCAAAGGGTATCTTCCTCTTTGTGCTCGCGCGGGCTTGGCTCACTTAATAACCACGCCCATTGTATATTTGCGCATGCGCATTACTAGCTCGAAATTTGGGTTCGCATCCGTTTCTGGGAGAGGACGAAAGAGAAAGAGCCGGAAGCTCTCCATTTGTGCGAGTGGCGGCCCATCCTCTAGCACCGTTTCACTCGACTGCGCTCTCTTCTGTGATCGGGTGTCGTTGCCGAGTCGCTAGGTGCAGAAAGGCGGGGGTCAGGTTGAGTAACCGAAGAGGTTTTTTTTTGTGCGTGTCTGGAGAGAAGCAAGCAGGGGCCGCTCGTGTGTGGAGAGACACTGAGAGAGGTGAGGATGTGGGGGGTGTTTATTTCTGGCGGGGATTTAGGCGGGTTGCTAGGAGCCAGAAGAGCGGAAAGGACGGGTGTAGCCTGTGTATGTAGCTGTTCGTTGGGGGGCGTGCGGGCAGCGTTGTGACTTTGTGCACTGACGGAGCTTGTATATTCTGGCTCTCTCTCTGCCTCGCGTTGACTATGCACAGGTCGCTTGCCCTTGTCTGCCCACTCGGCCACTTTACTCTTTTCCTGGCCCGTGGTAGTAGTTTCACTTCCTTCCACCCACATCCCCTATCGTGTCCTCCCTCTACCCCACCCTCCGTAGAGATAGAGGACAGGTCCGTGATGGAAACCGTCATGAGTTTCACCTGAATGAATTAGAATATTTAATCACTACCTACATTCCTGATGTGCATTTGATCATCTCACACCATACAGTTCATTCCTGACCTCTGTGCATTCCTCTGAAAAAACTGCATACGCATGCGAGGGGAGGTGGTTAGAACTAAAACGATGAGATGAGAGAGGAGAAATAGAAGGAGGGAGAGGCGGGAAAGTGAGCAGGGAAAGCTGGGGTTGTTACTCCAGGAAAAACAGCGAAACAAGCATCGAAATATTCTCTCGCCGAATTTCGTGATATATATCAGTCAGTTGAATGCTTTTGTCTACTGTGTGTGAACACGACAACACACATCACCAACCTCACACACTAACATACACACTCCTACACCATGCACATCCACACAGACACACCCTTCCAATGTGGCAAGGCAGCCTCACACTCTTTTACCGTCGATTCTATTTAGCATGTTGATGCCTACAAACTTGTACATGTAACTAATGCTTATACTACGCCTGTGTCGTGTGTACTTTTATGCGATACTATTTCTTTCTTTCCTTTCGTTTCTGAGTAGATACAGCGCCTCTATAGTGAGACATGACTGTTGTAATGATGTTCCGTCCTCCCTAATGGGTTCATATTTGTGATTTAGCCCATCCTAATAGCTGTGATCAGTAGAGGCATTACGATCACACTCGGCGTAGCTCGTACGATGTATCACAGCTCGTTATGGGACATCATCCTGTGGCAGAATACCGTCCTCGTGGGGTTATATATAATCCTTCCAGGTGCTCATTATCGTAAGGGGTGTGTGTGCTAAATGGGAAAGAGAGAGAAGTAGCGAAGTCTTGCACGTTGTATCTCGCATGCATTTAACCAGTGAAATAACGACACCTCGCTGATAATATAGACACTTCTTCAGTCCAATTGGTGTCAGATTAAAAAGGGGTCTTCTCTGCACTCTAGTTTATGACGGCACATTCGTAGAGTTCAATAATAATTGTGTGTGTCCATACCGGGTGTGCAGTTTGTGTTTAAAGCAGTTAAGAGGCCACAACAGGTCCTCGTTAGAGAGTGTAACGACCGTTTGCTGGATGCCAACCGAGACGTGAACATATCGTTTGGCAGCCTCAGAGACAATTATACTGCGTGTTTAAAGTTTACTGCTTTTTGGCAGTATTTGAGGCCAGTTAAGTGAGGTAAAGAGCGTAATGCCGGCGGTCGTAGTCGATTCATTGGCCGTTTTTAGAGAAGTTATTTGGCCACAGCACATGTCAGTGGTGTTATCATCTAGTAATAAGTGGCCCCTATCTCTTGCTACCCTCTTGTCCCTGTAAAGTTTAGCTGTGTTGTTTTGATGAAACGTAACCGTTGCGTCTTCTGTCTTCGGTCCCTTTTCTTGTCTAAACTCATCTCTCCCGTCTCATTCTCTCTCTCCTCCTCTTCCTCTCAAAACAATTAGTACTCCTCCTCCCCTCTCCCCCTCACAACACACAGAACATGGGCAAAGACGAACAGCAAACTGAGACCGGAGTCATCCAAGATTTAGTCCAGTCCACGGAATCACTGAACACGAGCTCCAGGAGTGGTACAGGGGTTCCTCAAGGATTGCCCAACGGCCATCTCACCGTGGACGAATTCAAAAAACATCTATTCAAGCTTTTCCCGCACGGTGACGCTTCGAAGTTGCCGAGCAAGTGTTCGTACCTTGACGCTAACCACGATGGGACGATCGACTTTTAGAGAGTTCATCTGCGCGCTCTCCGGACCTCTCGCGGGAAACTCGAAGACAAGCTGCGCTGGCGTTCACATGTACGATCTGGATGGAAACGGATTCATCACGAAAGCAAGAGATGTTGGAAATCGTCCGGGCGATCTACAGGATGGCGGCACGGTGATGAAGATGCAGAGGACGAACTCAACGCCCGAGAAAAGAACGGAGAAGATTTTCCGACAGATGGACGCAAACAAGGACGGGAGGCTCTCGCTGCAGGAGTTCATCGACGGAAGCCAAAACGACCCGTCCAACGTTCGGTGCTGCAGTGGACACGAGCATAGGTGGTGAGGATGGGGTGCCGAACCAATTAGTGCACACCACTCTTCCTATACCGGTACATCCACCTGCCCTCGTAACTTTAACCCTTTTCTCACACCCCATTTGATGATATACATGTAGCATCGTCGTCGTCGTCTTCGTCATTTGCGCGCCGCCGCGCGTCGCTATGGCGGCACAATTTAGCCGATAATGATATGTCTGTATGTGTTTGTGTATGTGTCTATAAGAGACTGCACAGTTATATATATATACTCTACAATGCACACACATGCAAGCACTCTAATGAATTTAGATGATATTTCTATTGATTATTCATGTTAAGAAAATTACAGAGAGACGGAATAAAATTTTACAGCCGCGACATGATGCGGAACACAAGGCTATATATATATTTATTTTATCCTTCCACAAGTGACTGATATGTATATAATTATACATTACAGAACTCACTCTTCTAATGCTTGGCTGGATGAAAGATGAGTCTGTTAATATCTGCCAGGGGAAATATGAATATATAAAAACCAGTAGATGTATAATATTATTATTATAGATTGAGAGAACTGATCTATTTTGTTATGAAAATTTGTTTCTTTGTCATTCGTCTGCCCATTGATTATGTCCATTTGGAGGTGAAATCTCCGCGTGGTCTCTCTAGCTTGCCGGTCATTGGAGCACAGCGTGAGTGCTGAGCTCCGTTTTGAGTTCCTGAATTGAACCTCTGCATCAGCTGGCTCTGGAAGGACCCGCCCCACCAGGATCATGTGACCTGCACGTGACATCACCGCCATTTCCACGGCAGCGACGAAGCCCCGGTCGGCGGCAGGTCGTACTTTGCCGGGAGAAATGGGTGAGACGGAAATTGTTACTTTGCGCGAGTCTTTCCATTCTCACAAACAGACGAACATTGCTTGCAAGTCTCGCTGCCGAATGCTCCGATGTCCGCAAAATAGAGAACTGGGAGTCTCTGATTTCTGACACCGTCGACGACAACAATTTCATTTTTCTTCGTAGAGCTCGTTTACATCAGTTGATAGTAACCGTGGGAAACGCGACTCTCGAAAAACGAGTTCTCGCTGCGAAAGTGAACCACTTAGGAATTCTCTCTCTACGTTCCAATTCAGTCATGAATCTTCCCGCCGCATCAACTCGAGCTACTGAAACTGCACGTTTGAAATTTTCCCGTTGTTTCGTTTGTCGAGGCACTTTTTGTCGTGACGACGACTCGTTTAGTAGGATGAAATTCCTTTACTGGAGTGGGTCAGCGTCGGTACGCCGTTACCAACCACCACGCCATTTACCACGACAATCAGAAGCGTTCCTCTGTCGAATGAAAACTGTCTCCCGAGTTCACTTGGGTTAAATCCGCGACTGGTACTGATGACAGGTACGCACGAGTAATGAAGCGAGCCGCCGCCGACTCACTTTGGCCCAGTTGGAATTCAAATTCGAAGTGACCAATCGGGCGAGATTCATCAGCTCCGGGTACATCGAGCAGTCAACGACACTCGAAGTTGTGGAAAGCGTCCCAAAATGTGCCGTGAATGTTTCCTTTGATTGATCGCGTATCCTTGTTCGACACGGCCGAGACAAGTGGAGGAAAATGAGTTCTCTGTCACCGAACTGTAACATTTCTGCGAGGGATGCACTCGGTCGAAGACTGCGTCCATCAGAACTGAGTCCATACTGGTTAGATCCAGAACGAGACCCAGATTCGTGCGCGGGGGCCGATTCGTTAAGTGGTCGTCCAGGTACACGTTGGACAGTCCGTAGAGTCGGGAGTGGGCAGTGACGGCCGCACGGTCCGCGCTCGCCACTCGTCCGCGACGCACGCGAGCGCAAAGTGTTTCTGGAGTGCATTTGAGACTGTTCCCAGTAGTTCATGCCCAGGAGGTAGCGGTACGTACCGTCTCTCTCGCCCGGCGCAGCAGAGCGTGCGTATAGAACTTCGTTTCCGTCCGAAAACGAGAGCCGGGTCGTCCCTTGTTAGGACGACCCAGCGACTTGTCAGTCGTGTCTTGAACTACGTCTTTCCCAACGCCGCTCTGTAACCGGACAAGCGTCAAAAAGCATACCAGGACACAGAGGAATACCAGAGATCCTAGTAATGGCCGTCTCCTGCACCCGAGGAGCCCTCTAAGCACCGAAGTGCAGCTCATCTTCAGAGGGCCCGAACCGCACACGTTTGAGGTCAAAGTTGAAAACGGTCTACGCATGCGCATGCGCAGTTAGTTCAGCCCACTAATTTAACGCGTGGTGATGCATCGACAGCAGTTTGTCACACAAGAGATGTGTGAGCTTTTAGTAACCGTGTATAATTTATACCTTGTCAATGCTAAGAGAAAACCAGGCGTGAGAAGCCAGCGAGAGTCCGTCGAGGAATCGAGTCGAAAGTTAGAAGACACGAGGAAATTCCGTTTGTATCGATGGAAAGGTGTTGGGTCCCGTGTTGTTCGCGGTCCCGACTGGCGATGGGAAACGTCAGGACGGAGGAGAGGGTCACGTGGGCACGGTGAGGAGCTTCGAGCGGCCCGGGGAGGTGCTGGTTGTCTGGGACAACGGTACGGCCGCCAACTATCGCTGCTCGCCGTGTTTTTGACCTGAGGATACTGGATAATGGACTGCAGGTTAGAGAGTACATAGAGAGAGAGAAGAGGGAGACGGTGGAACGGAAAACAAGGGGGAGTAGAAGGAGAAGTGAAAAGGGGAGCAGGATAAACTGTAGAAAGATTGCACCTATGTATGTATCTATGTATGTAGCTAAAGGAAGACTTACACGAATAGAGAGACAACAGTGCAACATACAAGAAGACCTTCGTCTTTACATTGGCACAGACAACGACGGCATGAATAGTGCCAGGTTTCATATCAAGTGTAAGAGTGCACAATAGGCTTGTAGTAGCGTAGTGCGTATAGTAGTATTATGGTGTAGTCCTGATTCTCCACCTCACATTGTGTCCAGCACTCGCGCCAAGAAGGGGCGATTGCTGATGAGCTAGTGAGTTGTTACGATTTTTAAAATATACTACAGTGGATCTCCTCTACTCTAATCCAGACACCAATTGGACCGAAGAGTGTGTCCACATTAGCGAGGTGTCCTTATTTCACTTGGGGGAGAAAAAGTGTCCCTATTACAGAATATCCTCATTTCAAGAGTGTCCTAAGAGAGGGGCTCCACTATATGTATATATTAGTATGTATGTCTCTGTGTTAGTCTGAGAGCTGTAACCACACATTGTTTTGTCATCTCTGTAGCTACTCATATTACACGCCTGATGACACAGTTAAGTAGTGTTTGGTGAAGAATCAACCTAACTCAGTGACCCAGAAAGAGTGGGCTCCACTATATGTTATGTTGTGTGTTTAGTCTAAGTTGTTTTGTATTAGCCTGTGATACATTAATAGGACAGACTGTAAGCTGGGTGGTTGTGTCAGTTCATTGCAACTTATGTCTACCCACAAACACAAAAACAGACCACCTCTGTAAGGGCTGCCTTCTAGGAGTGAAGTCTCTATGTGTGGTTAGGTAATATCTATTTGTAAGCCGGACATTCATGCAAAATCTCCAGATAACAGCGAGGGCAGCAGCTCGTATGGAAGAAATTTCTCCAAGATTTTCTAGTGAATTCGTGTGTTCAAAAGAACACGTTTCTATTTTCCCGAGCGGTTCTACTGGCACGAAGGTTTTGCGAGTGTGTTTCTTGCAAATCACTCTTCTTGAAATCGTCGGTCTATTTCTCCGTGGTTTTGTGGTCGCTTTTTGCTAATATATCTCTACTAATAAATGATCTGTTCTCGCTAATAACCGCTCATCATCATCTGAAGGTTTTTTGCTATTAACAAGCTGCCACTTTAATTAATTACACAACTCGTAAGACTTAAACATGGTCAAGCTTAACAAAACGCGTCCTAGTTTCACGGGCAATAATTGTTATACACATGTCCAAAACTTTATGGCAACGACCTATTCAAGTGCTTTTGGCAAAAGAGCATCGAGTCTGGGCTTTGGTTTAGCTCCATATATACCCTCCAGCTAAAATAGCCGCCACGTCGTTAATGTGATTGTGTCAGCCTGGTTTATTGGTCCCTGCGTGCATGTTAATTGATTTTGGCCGGCTCTTTTGTTGTGCGTGTGTTGGGCAAACAAATAAATTGTGTGTAGTCTGGATTGGCACTTGTATATAGCTTGTTGCACATCCCTGTGCTCTTATGCCACAGGAGGTTCGATGCAGTCGAACCTCCTGTGGCACTCACACTCGAACCACCGATGCAGTCGAACCACTCCGAACTAGAGTACAACTACCCTACACACTTCGTTCCCCTTGCGAATCTGTTCGTAGAGAAGGGTCAGTACCTCGAACCACCGATGCAGTCGAACCACTCCGAACTAGAGTACAAGTACCCTACACACCTCGTTCCCCCTGCGAATCTGTTCGTAGAGAACACTCGAACCACCGATGCAGTCGAACCACTCCGAACTAGAGTACAAGTACCCTACACACCTCGTTCCCCCTGCGAATCTGTTCGTAGAGAAGGTTCAGTACACTCGAACCACCGATGCAGTCGAACCACTCCGAACTAGAGTACAAGTACCCTACACACCTCGTTCCCCCTGCGAATCTGTTCGTAGAGAAGGTTCAGTACACTCGAACCACCGATGCAGTCGAACCACTCCGAACTAGAGTACAAGTACCCTACACACCTCGTTCCCCTTGCGAATCTGTTCGTAGAGAAGGTTCAGTACACTCGAACCACCGATGCAGTCGAACCACTCGAAATAGAGTACAAGTACCTACAACTCGTTCCCCGCGATCTGTTGTAGAGAGGTTCATACACCGAACCACGAGCAGTCGAACACTCCGTAGAGTACAAGTACCTACACTCGTTCCCCTGCGAATATGTTCGTAGAGAAGGTTCAGTACACTCGAGAACCACTCAGATCTCATGTGAATGACCCCTACACGCACTTTGCATCGTCATTACAACTTTCACACCTTTCCTGGTGCATATTTCGTTCTCGATCCGTTCCGATTATTCCCGAGGGTATGTGTTCTCAGAGTGATGTGGGTGTGTATTACGTAACATGTACACACCTATCCCAAATAAGGAGTTAGGCAAAGGAATTAGAGGGAGGAGAGGGGAGGGGGTAGGAAGATGAATGCCGTGTACAAGTTTGCATACAACTGTCCAATTTTCCCTAATAAGTCAATAAAAGCCAGATCACATGCGCTGCCAGATGTATGTACCTCCCACATGCCCCCTCACCACTGAACTGCTGTCAGTGAAGCCAGTGTGTCAGAATGTTTGATGCAGAGCAAAGTATGCTTGTAATGCCAGTTATGTGCCGTAGCTTGCTGTGAATGTGTATGTTGTAGTTTGATGTGTGATGGAGTGAAGGGAGGGCTGTGGCTTCTAGATATGTATGTACATGTGTAAAATAACAGCTCACGCTTTAGTTGCAAACTACACAAAGACAGAAGGGAAGAGAAAGAAGTGCGAGAAGGGCTGCTGCTTGATATCTACAGATATAGTGCGGGTTTTAATTCAGTGGTATATATATACTCATCAAGTCTTCAGAGTAGTTGACGAGGAAGGGGGTGGATCAACAGCTGTCTAAGTGGCCATAACATACTTTAGAGGTGGCATTACATACAAATCGTAGTATTTGATTACATGCATATTATCGTATTACATACATATTATCGTAGTATTTTGTAAAGGAATAGAATTTGATATACAGTATATGCTGTGGAACATGTGTGTGTGACCCAATCTTGGGGAGACTGATTAGTTCGTTAATGATGTCATCGCAATTCCCCAGACACCATGTGTGCCGATATTCACGATCTGCTATAATAACAATAACAACACCCGACGATTCCTGTGGCTTTGATCTGTCCATCATCACCTGCCTCTCCTCTCTCTCCCTCTCTCACCTCTCTTTCTCTCCCTCGCCTCCTCTTCAGGCGACTATGTAGGCTCCCTTAGTAGCTCGCCAATCACAGAATTGTTGTCATTCCAAAAGAAGCCTTCTCTATTTCAGACTAAGTACATAGGTTTTCTTCAATAAATATTTCATTCTCTCTCTCTCTCTCTCTCTCTCTCTCTCTCTCTCCCTCTCTCTCTCTCTCTCTCTCTCTCTCTCCCTCCTCTATAAGGTATAAAGCACGATGGAGTGGTGTGTGAGGGTTGCGCCATCTCGCCTCTCTACGGAATAAGGTGGAAATGTGCCGACTGTGCAGATTCCAGTCTCTGCTCCACCTGTTACCACGGCGACAAACACAACCCCCGACACACGTTCCATCGTATAGCCACGCCCTCTTCCCCTCGGTAGCCTGCGGAGTTGTTAAGTAATAAAAGCCTGATGAACGGATAATATAATATCTTATTCATGCATATAATGTATCGTGTCCCTTCTGCATATTGTGATGAAATACTCTCTTTACCTCTTCCTCCCTTCTCCCACCTTTCTCTCTATCTCCCTCCCTCCTCACCTCCTCCTCCCCCACCTCCCCCTCCCCACAGTATAACAGTACAGAGTCGTCGGAGGAGCAAGAAGCTGACGGCACGAGGTGCCTTCTCCGGAGCCAGGATAGTCCGTGGCGTGGACTGGAACTGGGACGAACAAGATGGTGGGTGGAACTTTCCCTCTGTGTCACATGACTTTCCCCCTGTGTCACATGATTTCCCCCTGTGTCACATGACTTTCCCCTGTGTACATGGACTTTCCCCTGTGTCACATGATTTCCCCCTGTGTCACATGACTTTCCCTGTTGTCACATGACTTTCCCCTGGTCACATGACTTTACCCTGTGTCACATGACTTTCCCCCTGTGTCACATGACTATCAGGTGGGTCTGGGAACAAGGGTAAAGTGCTGCAGATCCAGGATTGGGAATCGACTGCTCCTCGCAGTGCGGCCTACGTCGTCTGGGACAACGGGGTTAAAACCCTCTATCGCTTGGTACGAGGGAGTGGTAAGATACAACATTCTTCTTCTGTATGTAAGTACGCTTTTAGCGCAAAAAAATTTACTTCTATTACTGATCCCTCTGAAGACGCCTTCGAAGTTATGCTCTCTATTTAAAAGAAATAAAGAAATATTGAAACATTGTAATACTTCTCTGTACACGTTTAGTTAACAAATGGCGGAAAGTGTAAAATTTCTCTCTCCACCAGAGTGACCTAAAATGATCATGGACTCCAAAGGTCCCTCGTTATATCGCGATCATCTCCGTTGCTGGCGAGGACCAGCGGGCATTTATGGAATGTTCTCGCCCGGCGACCCAAGTTGCCATAGAGCTGCGTGGAGGTGTAGAATCTCCAGGTCGGCCAGGAGGGTGGAGTTCCTGGATGTGGAGGGTTAGTTGCTGTCGATACAATAGAATGAAAGTTATTGCCGAATGAATTGTGCATACCTAGTCGTCTCAATGTGGGATTTTATATATGTTTATATGACTGGCACTACCACCCACTGCACATGTACTTCTGATTTTCAAATCCACGTTGCGGAAATTGGAAGTACACTTGCCTTAAATGTGTTGCTATTCACCTATCGTCTGTTGTTTTGTTGTTGTTGTTGTCAAGGTGATGAATGCAGTGGGTTGTGGGTCAGAGGAGTTGACGAGGACCATGACGTCGTCGTCCAGTATCCATCACGACAGAGGTACATCATTACCTAGCAACAGAAAACTTGTATGAATAGCAACTTTTTGTGCAACTTCTGAACTAACAGTAGTTTGTGGACAATAGTGAACTTTTCCCATTTCTCTCACTCCCACAGATGACTATGAAACCAGCCATCCTGAAGAAGTCCCCAGTCCAGTCCAGGAAGTGGAACGGAATGGAGCCTCACCCTCACCCTCCTCCTCTCACCATCCCCAGTACAACCACTGATCCCTTTGAAGACGCCTTCAAGGTGTGCTCTCATTTAAACGATATCGAGAAATATTGAAACCATCCCATTGTAGTTAACAACAAAGCAAAAGCTTTTGTGAGCTAAGGCAAGCAGTGACTTTCGAATGGCTGTAAATAATGTTCACACGTGTTTGTTGCATCAACGCTGTATTAATATATATGGTATATATATATACAAATCATGCGATACTATAATTATATATACACATAGGTGGGCGACTTTGTGAAGATATCTGCAGATGCCGAGAAGGTGAAGGAGTATCAAAACCGCCACGGAGAGTGGGTGGAGTCGATGATACACGTGAGCATAGTGTTATAATAGTTGTACATACTAATGGAGTCATGTGACTGTCACGTGACGTGGATATCTTCTCCCTCCACCAGACCCTGGGTAAAGTGGGTGAATTGCAGAGGTGTATGGTGACGGAGACCTAAAGATTGACGTCAAGGGGACCATGTGGACCTTAACTCACAGGCAGTGAGAAAAGTGGACGGCGACGGAATGCCGCTGACCCCGTACCAGTGGTGAGAGTCTCAGTTTTCCACTCTGAATGTAGTAGATAACTTGTAATGCTGCTGAGGTGCTGTGTACCCAGGGCAGCTCTTCTGTTTGAGTGTCAGAGGTTCTCGAATCCCACCCAGGGCAGCTCTTCTTCTTTTCTTTGAGCGTAGAGAGTAGTTGAATTGTTGCCTGCCTTGCCTTTACTACCTCGTACCAAGTTGTTGAGACATGCAACAAGGAGAATGCAAAAACAAACGTAAATTTTCTGCGCTTGAAATTTTAACCCTTTCTTGGTCCGTATAGGTTTAATTTTAACCCTTTCCCTCCTCCCTCCAGCCAATGTATCCCAGCTGCTGCGCCACATGTTCGAGGAACATCAGTCCAGTTCGCCAGGGGAAGAGCTGGTGAAGTGTGCGGCCAGCGGGGACGCTCGAGGGTAGGAGAGACTCTTACGAGGAGGAGAGGTCGTGTTGGTAGACGTGCCGTTTAATGGAAGTACCGCTCTTCAGACTGCCAGTCAGGTATACTAGTCGGGCATGTTGTACAGGTCCAGAGCCGGTTTGACCAGTTTATAACCTGATTTGTTGTCTCAATAATTATAATGACCTGAGTATTTTATCGCCTAATTTCCCGCATCTACTCTCCAAATAGATTTTAAATTTGAATAGCTAGACTTAAATTTGAATGTTGTGACTGTTTTTGGGTGAATCGCGGTTTTTTTACCAGTTGTATGTCGGATGTTTTCATTTTCAGAATGGTCACATTGAGATTGTCAAGTGCCTCCTCAGAAATGGAGCCAACATTGAAGAAGAGGTGGGTATTTTTATACCATTACATCATCTCTAAAAGTCAGGACACACTTTCACCCTGACCTATAGGACAAGGACGGGGACAGAGCGGTCCACCACGCAAGTTTCGGCGACGAACCGGAGGTCGTCGACCTTCTGTCGAGTAACTCGGCAGACCTGAACGCCAGGAACAAGAGACGCAGACTGCTTCACGTGGCTGTGAACAGGGAAACCTTGGTGTGATTAGGGTTTCTACTGCAGCACATGTCACTCCAGTCTCCAGGTGTGCTACATTAGGTAGTCTCCAGGTGGCACATTTAGAGTAGTCTCCAGGTGTGCTGCATTTAGAGTAGTCTCCAGGTGTGCTACATGTAGAGTAGTCTCCAGGTGTGCTACATTTAGAGTAGTCTCCAGGTGTGCTACATTTAGAGTAGTCTCCAGGTGTGCTACATTAGAGTAGTCTCCAGGTGTGCTACATTAGAGTAGTCTCAGGGTGCTAATTTAGAGTAGTCTCCAGGTGTGTACATTAGAGTAGTCTCCAGGTGTGCTACATTTAGAGTAGTCTCCAGGTGTGCTAAATTTAGAGTAGTCTCCAGGTGGCTGCATTTAGAGTAGTCTTTCCGGTGTGCTGTTTTAGAGTAGTCTCCAGGGTGCTACATTTAGAGCAGTCTCCAGGTGTGCTACATTTAGAGTAGCCCGTCTCCCATAGCAACAGGGTTAGCCCTCCCATTCCACCTATCAAATACCATCTTACATACATAGCTATATAGTTGCATCAAGCATTTCCATTTTAACCTTCTTCTGCCACTGATTATGTGACAACAAGTATGTATGAAGTAGCATTGATGTATGTACCTTCAATGGGCATGTGTAAACAGTGATGAATGGCTTTATGCTTTCTTGCATTCGCTCGCCTAAAATTCATTCACGTTATTTGAGAGTACTAAACCTCTCTTCTTTCTTTCTTGCAGATCGAGGAATGTGTGGTATGTTCTAAAGCGGAAGCCTCAGTCGTCTTCAAGCCCTGTCTCCACATGGTGGCGTGTGACAGCTGCTCGTCCATCATGACGAAATGTGTCAAGTGTCGCACTGCCATCGAGACCGCCGTACCTCTCTCTGTCGCCAGTGGAGGAAGACGTGAGTCACCTGACCTAGTGGAGATATCATGTGACCTAGTTGAGGTGTCATGTGACCTAGTTGAGATATCATGTGATCTAGTTGAGATATCATGTGACCTAGTTGAGATATCATGTGACCTAGTTGAGGTGTCATGTGACCTAGTTGAGATATCATGTGACCTAGTTGAGATATCATGTGACCTAGTTGAGATATCATGTGACCTAGTGGAGATATCATGTGACCTAGTTGAGATATCATGTGACCTAGTTGAGGTGTCATGTGACCTAGTTGAGATATCATGTGATCTAGTTGAGATATCATGTGACCTAGTTGAGATATCATGTGACCTAGTTGAGGTGTCTTGTGACCTGGATTGGCTAAAAACACTTTACTACTTTTTTCTCGCCACTCTAGGGTTCTGCTATAAGTATAGAGCCTTATGTATATCTGCCTTCTTCCTCCCACAGCTCTCAAGGTGAGAGGAAGAGGGTCCAGAGGCTCAGGAGGCCCAGTTGGTAGTCAAGACATTGCTTCACTGCAGCAACAGCTACAGGAGATGAAAGAGAAGGTGTGTTGCAATGTCGCTGCTTTTGAGTTCTCTGAATCGAAAAAATTCACGTCAAACATGTGCACATCACGTTTCTTTTGGCGAGTTTCCACGACTTGCGGTTACTGTGGCTCTGCTTTCCCTCTCTCTCTCTCTCTCTCCCTCCCCCCCTCTCTCTCTCTCTCTCTCTCTCCCTCCCCTTTCCCTCCCTCTCTCTCTCTCTCTCTCTCTCTCTCTCTCCCTCTCTCTCTCTCCCTCTCTCTCTGCCCACTTCCCTCTCTCTCTGCCCTCCCCAGACCCAATGTCAGGTGTGTATGGACAGAAGAAAGAACTGTGTGTTCCTGTGTGGCCATGGGACATGTCAGTTGTGTGCCGACAAGATCATAGAGTGTCCAATATGTAGGAAACTAGTCTCCAGGAAGATCATCCTCTTTGACTGATGTCACTGGGTTGTTTGTCCAGATTATGTTATTGCTGTCTGTTGTGTGCAATAGAGAATTCCAGTGGTGTTGTAGCGTGCCAGAATGGTTCGGCCGGCTCAACAGGCCGCAATATTTACGTCACGCAATTAGCATAGCGCATAGAATACAGCGCTCAATCAGACAGTAGTAAATTTTGGCTCTCTAATGTCTATGGAACTATTCAGGCACATGCAGTGTATCAAAGGAATGCAGTGTACTGTGGGCACACCAATGTAGTGCAATACTATTACTGAGTCATTCTGGCACGCTTCATGCCAATTATCACAGAGCACTCGCCGAGCCCGCCATAACAAGTTTCACCTTAAGTAGGCGTCGGTAGATGCATGCGGCCAGCCTAGCTGTAACTACTTCCTGTGATGTGATCGCGCATTTCCAGTCGGATACATGTTTTGCACATGCGCACTTCGGAACTGAACCTCGGCGCCCCGGCCTCCGCAGGCGCTACTACATACGCGACGCCATGTGTTCTTTCGGGACCATTGGTGAGCATGCGCAGAGAGGATTATGCTAAATAGCAGAGGTGTGGTTTGCGCGTATATTTTGCGCAAAGATATAATTAGCTAGCTACATCATGAGAATGTAAATATACAAAAAAACCTCCAACCTATATAATAGCTATTTACACTGTCCAATGATCCGTGTGACCATGCTGTCAATACTGAGATATACTCAGAGAAACAATAACAGCAGTAATAGTGGTGACAGCAACTGTCATAATATTGTTGTTGGTTGGAGAACCAGAATCTGTAGTGACCGCAACTGTCATAATACTGTTGGTTGGAGAACCAGAATCTGTGGTGACCGCAACTGTCATAATACTGTTGGTTGGAGAACCAGAATATGGTAAAGGGCTGTTATTGCAGCCATCAGTTGGAAAATCTTCATTGCAGCCTTCGTACAGAGCTCTGGGACTGTAGGCATTAGAAATGAAGTCGTAGTAGGCGTCTATGCAGCAGCCTTGTTCTTCAACTGCATCTCTTAGGTCAGAGCTGCAATTGCACTTACCTGAACTGGTCAATGTCTGGTAACAACTTGCTTCAGTAGTTATAGAATCCAAGGCCTTGCCATACAAGCGATAACATTTGGTTCCATTTTCATTTGTCCCGCACAAATCAACATTAAATTTTTCAATGCCAGGAGTGCTATACACTCCGCATTCGTTTAAAACATCATTTATTACAATCCCACACTCAGGGTTGCAGTAAAAGCCAAAAGATAACTCAAGTTGTTGTTGTAACTCAGCCCTCATATCCAAATCAAACTCCACTTCTTCCAGGGCAGCATATTTGCAGTTGGTCACAAAAACGGAAGTGTTTCCTTGAAAATATGCATCCATCTTCTCTTCAATACATTGGTTCTCTCCGGGCGTCTGCCGTTTGTGTACCTTTGCTGTGATGAGCCTTTCGTGCAAAAACGTGCTGCAATTAGCTTCATGAAAAGCTGTCATAAACGCCAGCAACAAGAAAACTCCTGAACGCATATTCAGAACTGTAGGAATAGATGAACACTGTAATTTTTAAGGTGCCTACAGAGTGAGCAAATGCAGTGCGGACTGGCTAAACTCGCAACTGAGCAACATGTGCTAAGCGCGAGTAAAACGAAACTCATTTACCTGTACACGAAGTATTAGCTACAAGAAGACACTTTGGTTGGCTGGGGTGCCGCCTCAATCCGGTTGAGCACGGATTTCTCCTCTTACCTGCGGACTGCGGAGTCTAGTACTCTTGTCCGTGTTTTATAGCGGCGCGGAGCAACCGACCAGGCCGCCGCGAGACTATGACGACAGCCAACGTACTGCATGCATGCACGTGACCACGCGGGAAAGGGGCGCGCGCCTGCATTTATATTATATATTAGTAGCGCGCGCCAAAATGCACCGTTGCGTGACATTACTGCCAATATCACATATATTTTGAGAAACTTGAATCCATTGGGGCTGCAATAGAAGGGTGAATAATGATTATAGCAGTTAATCTCTTGAATCAAGGATCCAGGAGAGTTCTATTGTTCTGGCCACAACAATAGCAAAAGCCTTCAAAGGCAAGCAGTGAGTTTTGAATGGCTGTACATAAATATTCACACATGTTCGTTGCATCGATGCTATATATAATTTATATAGAATTCATGTGATGGATTAATAATTATATATTATTAGTGCCATAGCTGATTCGAATCGACCAATCAGAGTTTGTTATACGAGGTTCCTGATTTCTCATATGAACCTCGTGAGCTAACAAAGTTAACATGAAAACATGATATGAAACCTGTTTTTCTGTTGTTCAACAAGTTCAACAAGCATTTCGCTGAAGAAATGTAGCAGAACATAGATCTGTACAAAATGTGATCAAAGACATGATCTCTTGATATGCTCTTTTTCCACGAGGCTACAGTTGCTGTGTCTGCTTTGAGCCCATCTCCTCTCCTCCTTGCCATGTATCTATAGCCAGCAGCTCACGCCCGCAAACCACCGCACGCACGCACTAAGTGGGTGGGCTCTCCGCGAGCGAGTGCGTCGCGACAAAGCGACTAGTCGACGGCGAACACGCCTTCGGTATAGCAGCAGCCCGCACATGCGCCTGAATTCCATCCCACAGTCTCGCCTCTCTCTGATTGCGAGGTTCGCGCGGTCTCCGTCTCGTCGTTTCTGCTAGTCTCGTTATGAGTGGCGGAGGACAGTCCCCGCAGCGGAGTAGCTAGAGCGGACGGAGCAAGCGTATCCTAGCAGCTTCGCGTTCAATATCGCACGCGCTGACGGTCTTGCGCTCCCATCGTCTCTTCTCTCGCACTCTCAAATCCTGTGCTTGGATAACGCAGGCTGTGCCCGTATACGGCCGCCTGCATTTGCTCTGCACTAACATGTTATGTACTCCGTATACTCGGACATACCGGATTTCAATGAACCCTGAAGCGCCTCCGCGTAGTGCCCTCGCTGCGCTCGGTACACTACAACGCGGAGGCCCTCGGGTTCATTGAAATCCGGTATGTCCCTCGCACGTAGTACATAAACAATATATTTAGAAGACCGCAGTCACGCGCAATTGACCAATCAGATTACAGAATTTGCGGGGGGTTTATTTTTCATAGACACCTCGTTTCAGGTGTCTAATGGCGTTTGCAGGTGGTCTACAGCAAACTCCCCGTACAAATGGCTATTCTCAAAAGTCGTTATCTGCGCAAACCGGCGATCCGCGTTCGGTATATGTAAGCGTAGAAGGGCGCGACTGGCAAAGTAGCTCTTTTAAAATGCGTAGTGCACCTGCAAGAAGTCTGTGGACAGTCTCCGGAGCTCGCGAAAGTCAGAAATCACGTCAATATCCACGAAAAAAAGCGTCGGCTTCTTCAGCTCTGGCGATACACAAACACATTGGGCCGTTGCCGTGCGTTTGCTAACCCTTCAAACGCGCACCACCAATGAGGGGCGTTTTATGATGACGTAAACGATTTTTGACGGGGGGCGGGGGCTGTCTCCCTCGGAGTCTCACACGTAAAAAAAGCGCTTGTTCGATCCGAAGGTAAGGAATGGGAATGAGCGCAGCGTTGCTAGCTTGTTGCTACCCATTTGAACGCGCAAACACCAATCAGATACTCCGTCTAAAACGGTTAGACGCGGAAGCTCGGTTGTCACGCTACATTGCAACCCTCGGGGGAATGTGGGGGTAGCGCCCTCGCTGCGCTCGGGGACGCCAACATTCCACAGCCCTCGGGTTGCAAGTAGGTAGACACCTCGCTTCCGCGTTCTAACCTATATTTATTATTATACATAGGTGGGCGACTTTGTGAAGATATCTGCAGATGCCGAGAAAGTGAAGGAGTTTCAAACCGGTCACGGAGAGTGGGTGGAGTCGATGATACACGTGAGCATAGTTTGTTATATAGTTGTACGACGTAAATGGGGGTCATGTGAGTGTCACGTGACGTGGATATCTCTCCCTCCACCAGACCCTGGGTAAAGTGGGTAGAATTGCAGAGGTGTATGGTGACGGAGACCTAAAGATTGACGTCAAGGGAACCATGTGGACCTTCAACTCACAGGCAGTGAGAAAAGTCGACGGCAACGGAATGCCGCTGACTCCCAGTACCAGTGGTAAGAGTCTCAGTTCTCCACTCTGAATGTGTTAGAAAAGTTGGTTACACTGCTGAAGGTGCTGTGTACCCAGGGCAGCTCTTCTTCTTTTCTTTGAGCTGAGTAGTTGACTTGTTTGAGTGTCAGAGGTTCGAATCCAACCCAGGGCAGCTCTTCTTCTTTTCTTTGAGCTGAATAGTTGTTTGAGTGTCAGAGGTTCGAATCCAACCCAGGGCAGCTCTTCTTCTTTTCTTTGAGCTGAATAGTTGTTTGAGTGTCAGAGGTTCGAATCCAACCCAGGGCAGCTCTTCTTCTTTTCTTTGAAAGGAAAGAGCTGTCCTGGGTGTAGCTGACTTGTTTGCCTTGCCTCGCCTTTCTACCTCGCTACCAAGTTGTTGAGACATGCAGCAAGGAGAATGCAAAAACAATTGTGAATTTTCTGCGCTTGAAATTTTAACCCTTTCTTGGTCCGTATAGGTTTAATTTTAACCCTTTCCCTCCTCCCTCCAGCCAATGTGTCCCAGCTGCTGCGTCACATGTTTGAGGAACATCAGTCAGTTCGCCAGGGAAGAGCTGGTGAAGTGTGCGGCCAGCGGGACGTCTCGAGAGTAGGAGGACCTCTTACGAGGAGGAGAGGTCGTGTTGGTAGACGTGCCGTTAATGAAGTACGCTCTCCAGACTGCCAGTCAGGTATACTAGTCAGGCATGTTGTACAGGTCCAGAGCCGGTTTGACCAGTTTATAACCTGTTTTGTTGTCTCAATATATGACCTGAGTATTTTTTCTCGCCTAATATCCCGCATTTACTCTCCAATTAGATTTTAAATTTGAATGGCTAGATTTAAATTTGAATGTTGTGACTATTTTGGGTGAATTTTACCAGTTGTATGTGTTGTGTCGTGTCGGATGTTTTCATTTTCAGAATGGTCACATTGAGATTGTCAAGTGCCTCCTCAGAAATGGAGCCAACATTGAAGAAGAGGTCGGTATTTTTATACCATTACATCATCTCTAAAAGTCAGGACGCACTTTCGCCCTGTCCTACAGGACAAGGACGGAGACAGAGCGGTCCACCACGCAAGTTTCGGCGACGAACCGGAGGTCGTCGACCTTCTGTCGAGTAACTCGGCAGATCTGAACGCGAGGAAACAAGAGACGTCAGACTCCGCTTCAGGGCTGTGAACAAGGGAACCTTGGTGTGTGATTAGGGTTCTACTGCAGCACCACGGTCCCTCCAGTCTACCAGTGTGCTACATTAGAGTAGTCTCCAGGTGTGTCTGCAGTTTAGAGTAGTCTCCAGGTGAACAAGGGACACTTGGTGATTAGGGTTCTACGCGCAGCACCACTGGTCACACTGCCAGTCTCTCAGAGTGTGCTACATTAGAGTCGTGCTCCAGGTGTGCTGACATTAGAGTGAGTCTCCAGGTGTGCTGCATTTAGGAGATTAGTCGCCAGGTGAACAGGGACACCTGGTGTGATTAGGGTTCTACTGACAGCCATCCACTGTACAGCTCCAGTCTCAACAGGTCTGTGCGTACATTAGAGTAGTCTCCAGGTGACAGGGACACCTTGGTGTGATTAGGGTTCTACTGGCAGCACCACTGTCACTCCAGTCTCCAGGTGTGCTACATTTAGAGTAGTTGCCAGGTGTGCTACATTTAGAGTAGTCTCCAGGTGAACAAGGGACACCTTGGTGTGATTAGGGTTCTACTGCAGCACCACTGTCACTCCAGTCTCCAGGTGTGCTACATTTAGAGTAGTCTCCAGGTGTGCTGCATTTAGAGTAGTCTCCAGGTGTGCTGCATTTAGAGTAGTCTCCAGGTGAACAAGGGACACCTTGGTGTGATTAGGGTTCTACTGCAGCACCACTGTCACTCCAGTCTCCAGGTGTGCTACATTTAGAGTAGTCTCCAGGTGAACAAGGGACACCTTGGTGTGATTAGGGTTCTACTGCAGCACCACTGTCACTCCAGTCTCCAGGTGTGCTGCATTTAGAGTAGTCTCCAGGTGAACAAGGGACACCTTGGTGTGATTAGGGTTCTACTGCAGCACCACTGTCACTCCAGTCTCCAGGTGTGCTACATTTAGAGTAGTCTCCAGGTGTGCTGCATTTAGAGTAGTCTCCAGGTGTGCTACATTTAGAGTAGTCTCCAGGTGTGCTGCATTTAGAGTAGTCTCCAGGTGTGCTGTATTTAGAGTAGTCTCCAGGTGTGCTGCATTTAGAGTAGTCTCCAGGTGTGCTACATTTAGGGTAGTTGCCAGGTGTGCTACATTTAGAGTAGTCTCCAGGTGTGCTGCATTTAGCGTAGTCTCCAGGTGTGCTTCATTTAGAGTAGTCTCCATGTGTGCTACATTTAGAGTAGTCTCCAGGTGTGCTTCATTTAGAGTAGTCTCCAGGTGTGATACATTTAGAGTAGTCTCCAGGTGTGCTGCATTAGAGTAGTCTCCAGGTGTGCTACATTTAGAGTAGTCTCCAGGTGTGCTACATTTAGAGTAGTCTCCAGGTGTGCTGCATTTAGAGTAGTCTCCAGGTGTGCTACATTTAGAGAAGTCTCCAGGTGTGCTGCATTTAGAGTAGTCTCCAGGTGTGCTACATTTAGAGTAGTTGCCAGGTGTGCTACATTTAGAGTAGTCTCCAGGTGTGCTGCATTTAGCGTAGTCTCCAGGTGTGCTGCATTTAGAGTAGTCTCCATGTGTGCTACATTTAGAGTAGTCTCCAGGTGTGCTCTCATTTAGAGTATCTCCAGTGTGGTACATTTAGAGTAGTCTCCAGGTGTGCTGCATGAGTGTTCCAGGTGTGCTACATTTAGAGTAGTCTCCAGGTGTGCTACATTTAGAGTAGTCTCCAGGTGTGCAGCATTTAGAGTAGTCTCCAGGTGTGCTACATTTAGAGAAGTCTCCAGGTGTGCTGCATTTAGAGTAGTCTCCAGGTGTGCTACATTTAGAGTAGAGAGATAGAGAGAGAATTTTACAGTGGAACTCCTCTAATCCAGACACCAATGGGACAGGAGAAAATGTCCATATTAGTGAGGTGTCCTTATTTCAGGGGTTGCAAGAATTGGAAAGAAAAGGTGTCCTTATTAGAGAGGTGTCCTCATTTCAGAGAAGGCTACATCGTCCTCCCTCCTCCCGCTCCAGATTCAGAGGGGACATCACGCCTCGTCCCGACGCCATCTCCAGAAGAGAGCACGACATGGTTGCGCTCTGCTGCTTGAGCGGAGGGGCCAGATGTCACAACGTCGCCAATACAACGGCTTCACACTGCACTTCCGTCACCGCGATGGCAGCTCAGTAGGTATAATGTATGAGGGCCCCTTATATCAGTAGGTTCCACTGTACCCGCTCTCTCTCCCTCGTAGCCCTCCCGCTCCCTCCCTCCCTCTCTCTCTCTCCTCCAGAGTAACAAAACATCGAGCCCTCCGTCGACATCCTCATCCTCTCCCCGACTAGCCGACTTTTCGACTGCCTGCCCTGTGTGGTGTGGACGATCAAAAAGACGACGTTCACTTCCTCCTCCCTCGCTCTGCTCTAAACAACTGCACCTGGAGAGCCTCTCAGGCTCTCTTGCGCAGTGAGTCGTTTCACAAACTTCACTTTAGAGAAGGTCTAGAAAGAGCTGTCTGTTAGTATATACTGTAATATATGGCACATTATGTTGGTTGGTAAGTTTGTGTAATAATTACTGCGACTTCTCAGGGGCTCTTGCAGGCAGTGAGTCACTTTCACTTTCACTTTAGTTAGGGTCTAGAACCAACTCTGCTCTATCTGTTTGTAGTGCATAATGTAATTCCCCATCTCTCGTTTCTCATGTCATCGATGATGTAATGTTTCCCCTCTCAGGGCGCGAATCCAAATATCCAGAACGTAAATCTCCAGACGCCGCTTCACCTGGCCGTGGAGCGGAGGAACATCCAGATAGTTAGACTCTTGGTCGAGGAAGGAGGCAACCCAGACATGGGGGACAAGTTTGGCGATCGTCCGCTGCACGAGGCCTCCGAACAACCACACCATGTCCCAGCTGAAACACAGTTCAGGATGTCCGCAGGATATTGGGAAGGTAATGTGGTTCCTTGCTTCAGCCTTCAGTTCCAAGGCTTTTAATATAGTGGAACCCTTCCCTTTAAAGACACCCCTGAAATGAGGACACCTCTCTAAGGACACCGCTGAAATGAGGACACCTCTCTAAGACACCGCCTAAATGAGGACACTCTCATAGTCATCATTTACTTCCCAAGAACAGTTCTTAATATAAAGGACACCTCACTCATAATGGACACTTCGTTCTGTCCCATGGTGTGACCAATCCATCGCTAGGCGATGGTTATCGATATCAACGGAGAGAACGCCAGTGCCAGTACACAAATCGCCATGATTCTCGCCTCAGCCGGAGCGCGCTGGAGTCAGAGTTCACCGAGACTCATAACTGCCACACTAGTGTTTGCTGCACTAATATTGTGATTGTGTTGAGACACGTGATCAGCAGGGTTACATTTAGAACTGTAACTAAAGATGGACTACCCAGTGACGAGTTTCCAAATTTAGCCATTTAGAGCCATTTAGGCCTATGTTTACAAACACGCCACCTTCCTGTCACCTGCTGACCGGTTTGTGTCACGGTGTCTGACAAGAAAGAACGAGATCCGGTGGAGCTCTGCTCGACCCACGCTCCGAACGTGCTGAAGAAATGTCATCGTTTGACCACTTGCCCAGGCGGCAGGTGGACACACCCTCTGCCGCATAGGTGGCAGTGCTTATGGGCTGTAGTCATATAGCAACAATACACTCCAAATGACACTGTCCCCAAGTGAGAAATTAGACACCCATTGTTTCGCTCCCGCCTCTCCTCACTCCCTCCCTCAACTGGATATATTATACCGTAGGCGTAATGACACACATAGGCCATGCAAAGACACTTTCAGTGTCCCCAAGTGAGATTTGGTTGTGATGACATCTCATTGTTTTCCCTCCCTCCCCTCTCTCTCTCCCCTCCTCCCTCCCTCCCGCTCTCCTTGTCCCTCCCTCCCTCCCAGCCGTGCGCTCATATATGCCTCTCCCAGACGGCGCGCTCTCCACGTGTCTAGTGTGTGAGACTGTGTCGCCGTCGTGGCTCTGTTGCCGTGTCGTCTCACGATGCAACCTGCGAGAAATGTCAAGTGTCCCGCAACTGGCCATCTGTCGCCAGCCGTCTCCCATAGCACTAGGTAGCCCTCCCATTCCACCTATCAAATACCATGCATCCATACATGCTATATAGTTGCATCAGAGCACTTTCCATTTAAAACCTTCTTCTGCCACTGATTATGTGACAACAGGTATGTATGAGTAGCATTGATGTATGTACCTTCAAGGGCAGTGCAACAGTGATGGATGGCTTTATGCATTCTTCTCTTTTGCATGTCGCGTCGCCTAAATTCATTCTCGTGATTTTGAGAGTTTAAAAACCTCTCGTCTCTCTTCTCTCTCTTCTCTCTTTCTTGCAGATCGAGGACAATGTGTGGTATGTTCTAAAGCGGAAGCCTCACGTCCGTCTTCAAGCCCTGTCTCCACATGGTGGCGTGTGACAGCTGCTCGTCCATCATGACGAAATGTGTCAAGTGTCGCACTGCCATCGAGACCGCCGTACCTCTCTCTCCTTGTCGCCAGTGGAGGAAGACTAGTCCCCTGACCTAGTGGAGATTCAATTGACCTAGTGAGGTGTCATGTGACCTAGTTGAGATATCATGTGATCTAGTTGAGATATCATGTGACCTAGTTGAGATATCATGTGACCTAGTTGAGGTGTCTTGTGACCTGGATTTGGCTAAAACACTTTACGTACTTTTTCTCTCGCCACTCTAGGGTTCTGCTATAAGTAATAGAGCCTTATGTATATCTGCCTTCTTCCTCCCACAGCTCTCAAGGTGAGAGGAAGAGGGTTCCCAGAGGCTCAGGAGGCCCAGTTGGGTAGTCAAGACATTGCTTCACTGCAGCAACAGCTACAGGAGATAAAGAGAAGGTGTGGTTTGCAATGTCGCTGCTTTTGAGTTCTCTGAATCGAAAAATTCACGTCAACATGTGCACATCACGTTCTTTTGGCGAGTTTCCCACGACTTGCGTTACTGTGGCTCTGCGTTTCCCCTCGCTCTCTCTCTCTCTCTCTCCCTCCCCCACTCGCCTCTCTCTCTCTCTCTCTCTCTCCCTCACCCTTTCGCTCCGCTCTCTCTCTCTCTCTCCTCTCTCCTCTCTACAATCTCTCTCGTCTCCCTCTCTCTCTCTCCCTCTCTCTCTGCCCACTTCCCTCTCTCTCTGCCCTCCCCAGACCCAGTGTCAGGTGTGTATGGACAGAAGAAAGAACTGTGTGTTCCTGTGTGGCCATGGGACGTGTCAGTTGTGTGCGGACAAGATCATAGAGTGTCCAATATGTAGGAAACTAGTCTCCAGGAAGATCATCCTCTTTGACTGATGTTCTGTTTGTCCAGATTATGTTATTGCTGTCTGTTGTGTGCAATAGAATCTGCTGATTATTTATCAACTTCTGAGAGTACCGTAAGCCACTGCGTAAACCAAAGTGCTATGGGGGGGTGGGTGCCAAACTGGCCAAAAAGCCATTTTGAACTCTCAACTCTCCTATTTACTTACATACAGGCCTTCTATTTGCCTACATAATATATAAGCCTTCTACTTATTTTAAAGGAATCCTATTTGTCATATAGGAGTCCTATTCATTATTATTATAGCATTCCTGTTTATTCTATAGAAATCCTAAATATTATATAGGAGTCCTTAATTATTATACACTGAAACCGAACAAATGACATGACACCCTCTCTCCCAACAGACACAATGACACCCTCTCTCCCAACAGACGCAATGACATCCTCTCTCCCAACAGACGCAATGACAACACAATGACACCCTCTCTCCCAACAGACACAATTACACCAACTGACACAACTCACAAACCACTACCCATACTGAACAAGCTTAGAAACACTCAATACAGACTGCGACCAACTGACACAGAAAACTTGGACTCACTAGACGGCGTTCTTGAGAATATCAGTTGGATAAAGTTCGATATGGTCAAACCATTCCGAACCCGTTCTTCCACAAGAAAGTGTGAGTATGCGGCACTTCGGTTTACAGAATGACTTACGGTAAACTCTGAAATGAAAAGCACTTGAAAGTGCATAACCCTCGCCACTGTTGATTATGGAGGTTCAATAGTTGGCTGTCTCAGAGAAGATCAGAGACTGCTCTTCCTTTAATAATTTTCAGCATGTATTCTTTCTTTGAATACTTGCTAAACCATCAATACAGGCAGACCAGCAAATCCTTTCCACACGCGCAAAGCATCTTGTTTCAGTATAGGCAGCAAATGTTGTGTAGGGGTTCGGAATGGTTGTAACTACTTCCTGCAATGTGAATTGCGCATTTCCAGTCGGGTGCATGTTTTGCACATGCGCACTACGGAACTGAACCTAGGCTTGCGATAATTTATGCGGGAATAATTTCGAGAATAATAGCAAAGCAAAAAGCAGCAAGCATAATCCGAGCATAATAGCAAAGAAAACACGCGCTCGCAACCGCGCCTACTTTTAATTATGCGGCCACAGTTACACGTGGCACGATGTCGTCGTCCTCCGGGTCGCCCGAGCAGCAGTGCGAGCACGACATCAAGCCGTGCGAGGATGGGTCAGGCTCTTCTGTACCTTCTACATCCTGCAGCAGCGTGCGTTACCCGGCGCTATGGCGCTAAAATCAGCGCCAAGCCCAATTTTCAGAGAAAATGAAGCGCCGGGTCCTAGCTCTTGCCTACGCGTCTCTGCGCAATACGGGCACACGCGAACGTGGAGTTACCGGTTGTTAGCTGAACTTTGCAATTGGGTATAGCGCCAAGGCCGTCCCTGGCGCCATGTTTTTGGCCCCAGAGATGTTGCAGGTTGACACCCCTGTTAGTAAAGCAGGCGCCTCTTGCCAGCACCAACAGGAAAAGGAAATTTGCGGCGCAACAGGGCTTAACATTGCAAGATTATATTATGTTCTCCATCTGTTGTATATAGGTCATTTTTGATCAGGTTTTTTGAGCATAATTTGGGAATAATAGCAGCAAACCGTAAGAATTGTAGCAACAAAATATGAGCATTAAAGAATAGAATAATACCAAAAAAAGTGGCATAATTATCTCAAGCCTAACTGAACCTCGGCGCCCCGGCTTCACAGGCGTTACGCGACGCCATGTGCTCTTTTCGCGACCATTGGTGAGCATGCGCAGAGAGGATTATGCTAAATAGAAGAGGTGTGGTTTGCGCGTATATTTTGCGCAAAGTAGCTGGCTACATCATGAGAAGATAAACATGGCAAAAAACCTCCAACCTATATAATAGCTATATACACTGTCCAATGATCCGTGTGACCATGCTGTCAATACTGAGATATACTCAGAGAAACAATAACAGCAGTAATAGTGGTGACAGCAACTGTCATAATATTATTGTTGGTTGGAGAACCAGAATATGGTAAATGGCTGTTATTGCAGCCATCAGTTGGAAAATCCTCATTGCAACCTTCGTACAGAGCTCTGGGACTGTAGGCATTAGATAAACCGGAAATGAAGTCGTAGTAGGTGTCTATGCAGCAGCCTTGTTCTTCAACTGCATCTCTTAGGTCAGAGCTGCAAGTGCACACAGCCTGAACTGGTCAATGTCCGGTAACAACTTGCTTCAGTAGTTATAGAATCCAAGGCCCTTGCCATACAAGCGATAACATTTGGTTCCATCTTCATTTGTCCCGCACAAATCAACATTCAATTTTTCACTGCCAGGAAAGGCACTGCTATACACCCCGCATTCGTTCAAAACATCATTTATTGCGATCCCACACTCAGGGTTGCAGTAGAAGCCAAAAAATAACTCAAGTTGTTGTTGTAATGCAGCCCTCATATCCAATCAAAAACATCAAACTCCACTTCTTCCAGGGCAGCATTCTTGCAGTTGGTCACAAAAACGGAAGTGTTTCCTTTAAAATATGCATCCATCTTCTCTTCAATACATTGGTTCTGTCCGGGCGTCTGCCGTTTGTGTATCTTTGCGGTAGTGAGCCTTTCGTGCAAAAATATGCTGCAATTAGCTTCATAAAAAGCTGTCATAAACGCCAGCAACAAGAAAACTCCTGAATGCATATCAAAACTGTAGAAATAGATGAACACTGTAATTTTTAAGGTGCCTATAGAGTGAGCAAACGCAATGCGGACTAGCTAAACTCGAAACTGAGAAACTAAGCGCGAGTAAACGTCAGTAGCAAAACTCATTTACCTGTACGCGAAGTATTAGCTACAAGAAGACTTTGGTTGGCTGGGGTGCCGTCCCAATCCGGTTGAGCACGGATTTCTCTTCTTACCTGCGGACTGCGGAGTCTAGTACTCTTGTCCGTGTTTTATAGCGGCGAGGAGCAACCGACCAGGCCGCCGCCGCCGCGAGACTATGACGACAGCACGTACTGCATGCATGCACCACGCGGGAAAGGTGCGCGCGCCTGTATAGCGCACGCCAAAATGCACGTTGAGTCATCAGCTCAGTAAATTATGTGAGAGAATGATGATTATGGCGCAACCATTCTCTCTTAGGCTTTAGAGCTGGGTAATTTAAATCGCGCAGTCTGATTGGTCCATGCTTGGACTCATTTTCCGGACTCTTTCCGGGTCTATTAATATGGCGCATGCGCAATGGTTCACTTACGTTGGGGGCGGCGCGCGCGGCGGAGTCCCCCCCCCCCCAGCAGCGCGCGGTCTAAATACGGCCACTGCATGGTAGAGGCGAGCCCGTTGTCGACGCCGGGTCGCCCACCCTGGGCCGGGCCTCTCGCTAGACTTCCCGGCGAGAAAGCGGCGCTCGCGCAGTTTCAGACGCACCGAATTTGAATTGCAAAAAAAAACTTGAATGCATTGGGGCGCAATAATAGGGTGA